AGAGTTTCGTTTCTTTCTTCTGTATTCTGGATTAGTTGTACTAAAAGGTAAGATCTCTGGAAAAGAATACAATTTGTTTCTGGCTTTGTCAATTGCTACACGTATATTTCTTTCTGATATTTTCAGTAAACAAAAATATTATGTTATATTTTCTAAAAAGTTATTTTACTGGTTTACTAATGAGGCTATTTTACTCTATGGAGAGACTTTATCATCTTATAATGTCCATTCTCTAATACATATAGCTGAGGATGTTTTAAATCATAATAAGACTTTAAACAAGCTATCTGCTTATCCATTTGAAAATTACTTAGGATGTTTAAAAAAAGTAGTGCACTCAGGAAGATATGCTATATCTCAGGCTGTCAAAAGATTAGAGGAAAAATTACAACTCAATGAAAATGTAACAACTCAAGAAAAAACAACTAAAATTGGTACAGGGAAAAAAAATAGTTTTTTTTAATTCCAAAATCTGGGTTCACGATTATAACCAAAAAGCTTAGTGAAGATATGTACCTTGGAAGGTTAATCAAATTAAAATACTTCTCTAATTATTTTAATGAACCAGACTTGTCTTCCACATACAACATATTTTTTATATCTACGATTGATAATTAAACTGAATCTGTTTTTAAAAAAGAACTTATTTCTAAAGCAATTATGATGCCATTTTCAAAAGGGGGTTTTGTTTTTATGACTCTAGTTCATTGTGACACTTGATAAATGTGTATAAAAATTTCCTGTTTTAATTTATGTCTATGAATTTTTTTTTATGTTTGCTTTAATTTTATTGGTTTTATTGAGGTTAATGACTAGTCGATGGTTTAATTGTTTGATTTTTGTTGTTTAGTTATTTATTTGATTCTAACTTTTTAATTTAATTGATTTTAATTTTTTAATATATTTTAACTGTTTCATTAATTTAATTATTTCATTCATTTTTACTGTTTGATTGATTTTAATTTTTTCATTGACTTTAACTGTTTGATTGATTTAATTACTTAATTTTTTTTGAAGTTGATAAAGTTTTTAAATGATAAGAAACATATAAAAAACCAATAATATCAATATTCACATATTAATACTCTTATATATATTTATATTAGGCGTTGGCAATATATATATATATATATATATATATATATATATATATATATATATATATATATATATATATATATATATATATATATATATATATACACGTATATATACATAAATATATATAAATATATATTTCTTTGTGTGTGTTTGTGTGTGTGTATCTATATATTATATATGTTGATGATTGGTTTTAAATATTTATTACATAAATAAAGTTTTTTTTGTAAATATGTTGCAATTTTGGTAATTTTTAGTTAATTATGGCGTTTTCAAAAGTAAAATGGATAGAACCACATGCAAATGGATCTAGTAAAATCCAGTATGGGACGGTACCAACAAACTGGATTGAAGAAGAAGAAGGGCAAGAGTTAATTCGTTGGCCTTGCAATGCTAAAGATGTAGAGCCGTACATAAAGCGTTGCCAAAATCCTGGAATTAATTGGTTGTTTTTTGTTTTAGTTCAACATTTCGGGAGTGCAGGTATTTATAATATTTATATATTTAATTCATTATTTATCAAAATAGTACTAGATTTAAATAAATTTTATTTATGTATGTTAGTACATTTTTAGACAGTTACATAAATTGTGAATCAATTAAAACATGCTCAGAATCTGAATCTGACCACAATTCGCAATTGGGGAAAAGGAAATACAACCAAATAGATTCATTTGCCTATCAAAAGCAATCAGGTGAGTGTTTTTTTGTGTGAAAATGTTTTGGTTTGAATCAGATTTTATTAAATGTTACTAGTATTAGTAAAGATAACCACAACTAGTCCTGGTATTATTGAAGTAATCAAAATATTCAACAAAAAATAAAAAAAAACAATTTAAACTTAGCTTTTTTTTACATTTATAGAAAAAAGATTAGCTAATGAAAGAAAATCGAAAACAAAAAAATTGAGTTATATAGAAACAAGTGACGATGAAGTCAGTTTTTCTAGTACACCATTTCCAAAATTAGATGGTAACAATAGTTCCATAAAGGTTTGGTTTTTTTTTGGTTTTTTTCTCATACTGATGGACTAACAATGCATTAATGATAAATTATAGATGATGGTTCTTCTTGTGTATACTCATACAACAATTCAGCAACAATTAGTTCCAGTGAAGGGGTCAGTAATGTTGAATTTCATAATATTGAGTTGCCTGTGTAATTGAACTCTTTTAAAAAATATTTTTGTTGGTTATTATTGTGATTATCTGCAAACTCAATGATAACTTATTTTTTTAGTTAACTTGTGAAAAAATAATTAATAAAGAAATTGGTAAAAGTGCTGGGGAAACAAATAAAGACTATATTTCTGATCAGAGTAAGAAAAAGTTGAATTAATATTTCTTTCTGATCAAATCTTGCAATTTTATTTTTGTAATTTTATTATGTTGTAGCTTGTGTAAATTAAGATAGTTGGAATTTATCTTAATTTCTGTAAAGCTTTTAAACGAACAATGTTAGCAGCAATAGCACGTCTAGAAAAAAACTTCAATGACTTTAAAGCCTCATTTAAGCAGAATGATTTAAAAATTTTAGTCGAACCGTTACATCTATCAAAACTGCAATTTGATGAAATCTTGGATCTGGAAGTTTTTCTTTTAGCTGATAGTAAAAGAAAGGATTCTGCAGTGAGAAATTATACATTATTGTTTTTAGTTTTCCACTTAAATTAATTTTTTTTCCTTACATTTTGTATCATTTTTATAGTTAAGTTAATAATTTTTATAGTCCTTTTGCTTTTTTTGCAGGTAGAATCATTATGTAATGTGGGTGGAAAATCTACAATAGATATTACATACAATGTTATAAAAAGAGTGATGAGTGACGAGGCTTCTAGCCACTTTAATATAAAAGGCAGTTCTCAGAAAATCTCATTTTGTGAAAAGTGCCCAAGATTATATTCTGCTATAATTAGTAAGTACATCTTTAAGTATTTGCAAGTTTTACCTTGTTATTTTGACCCTTAAATTCTAAAAATGCTCTATTAGTTGTCATCAAATGTGCTGGATTTAAGTCGGATTAAGGCGGATTAAGTCATTTAGGATCTTAGCACAATTATTCTTTTAGAGCCTAATTCATACTACAAAAAAATATGTACGAATAAATTTTATATTGTTAAATGTAATATTGTTAATAGAGGACCTTCTTTCAATAAGTAAATTAAAAAAGATTTTAAATTTTTTTTTTGTTTTACAAAAATAAATGTATAATAATATTAACACTATTAAAATTATTTTAAAAATTTTATTTACGCTAATATTTAAGGTCTATATGCTATACGGGCCTTAAATAACTGTCTAGTTTGCATAATGGGTAATCCACCACTAATGCTGTAGGGCTTCTAATAAACATGGAACACATTTTTCATAAAAAAATATGCTCCATGTTTATTAGAAATTAAAACAAGGTTTCTGCCAGATCAGGGAAAAGTCAGGGAATTCAGATTTCTGTAATAATATCAGAGAATAATCAGGGAAATTGTGTTGAGAAGTTTTGAAAAATCAAGTAGAAATCAAGGAAATTCGGCAAACTCTCATGAACTGTCAGTTGTATTTTTTTTATGGCGTTCTAATAATACTTTGAATGTAGGTTATAATATATATATATATATATATATATATATATATATATATATATATATATATATATATATATATACATATATATATATATATATATATATATATATATATATATATATATATATATATATATATATATATATATATATATATATATATATATATATATATATATATATATATATATATATATATATATATATATATGCAATTAAAAGCATTTTTCTAAAATAATTATAAGTTGAGCTTTTGTAGCTTTAAAGGGAGAACAGGTAGAGAAACAGGGAAAAGTCATCGAAATCCATCTTAAAATATTGGCAGACACCTTGTTTAGTATTATGTTATTTAATACGATGTATCATTGTTTGTTTCTATTCTCTTTTTTTTTTAAGATGCCATCAAATTACAAGACGAATCAGCGAAAGATAGCGATATAACAACCGCAATAGGAAAGTGGCTACGTATGCATGGCACACTGTTTAAACGTCAAATGACAGAATAACAATAAAATAACATCGTTTTGATTGAAAAAAATTTGAAAATGCAGAAAATATTTTGCTTGTTAATTTAATATTTTTTCTGTTTCTAATTATTTACTAGATAAATAGAAACGGAAGAAATAGTGTTAATTTCAATTAATTTTTGAAAATCATCAAGGATCTACTAGGCATTATTATTAGGGTGTTCTTTTAAGATAAATTACAAATAAAATTTAGTTCTTATTCATTGGAATTAATGCTAAAGATATTTAACAAAATAGTACTAATTAAATAATATCGACGGTAAAAAATCCTTAATGCACCGTTGCAAATGTTAACGAAACTCCGCAGTCAGTTAACGGCTGATCAACACTTCTTAAAAGCATTCAATCAACGTTAAGTTAACAATTACAAAGCATCAGGATTTTTTCCGGGGGGATTTTATCCAGGGCAATTTTTTCTCGGGGGGATTTTTCTCGGGGGATTTTTTCCCAGGAGACTTTTTCCTGCTACCAATACAACGGACTTTCGGAAGTATGGGAATTATTTTTGGCTATCGAAAATCGGGAGGCTACCTTACGTCAGTATTAAATAATTAGTATTAAACTACTTATGTCATACCTTAAATACCTTAAATACCTTACGTCAGTATTAAATATTAGTATTAAACTAATTATTTAACACATATTTTAATTTTTCAGAGTGGAACTATTTTCCATTTAATGGAAAATAATTCCAAGGAATTTCCTAATGCATATATGCTATAATAAATTCCATAGGATTTTTTTTACAAAAATTTGTTTTATAATTTTCCATACACTGATAGTATCTAAAGTTAAATACGACGACTTATAGATGTAGTAATTAACTTAATACTATGACGTATAGTCTTTAAATACTTAGTCATAGGTATTTAATTTTAAATATTTAACTCAAATAGACTATTGCAGTCGAGCATCATGCATTATCACCTAAAATTTTATTGAAGTTATTTCACAAACAAGGAAGATGATTTTTGAAATATTGTTTTCAGTTTTTCTTGTACACTTGTCAATTTCTCTCTCTACAGAAAGTTCCATAACGTGTTTAAATAAAGAGAAGTTTTCAACTCCATCTGGCGATTTAGATTGCCAACTATCTTGTCAGTGTCCATCTGACGATCAAAAGGAAGTCCGTAGCGTTTACGTCGGGTGTGAAAAATGTTGCTGTGTTGATATGAATTATAAACGAATTGAAAAAGCTCTTCAAGAGACCACCGAAAGTATATTTATGTTTTTTAATATATATATATATATATATATATATATATATATATATATATATATATATATATATATATATATATATATATATATATATATATATATATATATATATATATATAATATAAAATTAAATGATAACACATGGCAATTAAGAAACATGACTCACGTCTAGGGTCATCATCAGATGTTACATCTGATGATCGTCTTAGATGTCAATCTCATAGTCATATTTCTTTGAATACCAATTGTTATTATTTAATTTTCATAATATAGTTTGCTCTACTCTGCATTGAGAATAATATATCGGTATTTATCAAAAAATGTATATATTTTCTACACAATTTATTATAACTTTATCGAAAGATAGATACAAAAATGGGGTATAATTTTATATAAGTTTTTAAAGGGCACATTAAGGGACCCAGAGGGAGTGCCAATCCACCACCTATTCCTTACAAATTTTTTTTTTTTAAAGTTTTTTTTTTTATGAATTTGGTAATATTTATGCAACAAGTTATTATTTTTTTAATTCAGATCACTAGCGAATATTAGAGATCTGTCTGTTGTTTTGCAAGGAAGGTTTAACACACCCTATCACAATTTCATTCTTTTAAGTATTTCATTCTTAACAAAAATGATCAAATCTAGTTTAAAAAATAAAAAACTTCAACACTTTACAAAATTGTAACTGGTATATAAATTGTCTTTATGAAAAATAAATACACACACACAAAAACAATGTCTTTAATATCATCTGTTGCCATGACCACTGCCATTACCTTTTCTGCTGTTGCTCGCAGCATTCTTGTTTGGAGGATGATAGGGCTATCAAATCATCTCATCATTCTACCCTCCTAATTTGACTCACCAAAAAAATGAACAATTGCTGGTGGGTCCAGGATGCTGGGACCTATATCTAAGATAGGCCTGATATGTAAGCTCTAAATGATAGTGAATGTTAAAAAGATTCGTACTGAATGTTATGTTACATTTAATTAAACCTGTAGCTAAAAAAATAAAATAAACCGCTAATAAATCAATGATAGCTTAACAAATATACAAGTAAAAGTTTAAATACTGCTATTAATTCTCCTTTTATGGCAGTTTTAGGGATAACATACAAATGTATTAAATAGTATATATAAATAGAAATATTATGAATTAAATAATCATTAGAAAATATTTCTATATAATTTGGATAAAAAAAGTTGTGATAATATTTAATTTTATTTGTAATTTATAAGAAAGGTATACACACATTAGAAATACTAGTTTTACACATGCATTTTGCATACACATATAAAAAAAAATATTTTTTAAACTCACCACTTGTAGCAGCTAAAGATGTAACTAAAGGTTAACAAAGAGCTGCTGAGAAATGCATAAACATATTAAAAAGTAATAGTTTGTAAACATACCAGTTGCAGCAGATTTAATTAGACTAAGATTAAAAAGGTGTAATAAAATATAATAATAGGTATGAAAAACATACATATATGAAAAAGTTTTTTGTAGTATACAATAAAAGTGTTTTTAAAGTTACCACCCAATCCAGTTGAAGATGAAATTAAGATTAAAAAGTTTTAATGAAAAATAAATTTGCAGTTGTTGAGAAATGCATACATATTAAAAGGTAATAATTGTTAAACTTACCACTTGCTTCACATGAGGATGTAGCTTAAGTTAAAAAGTTGTAATAAAAATAAATATTGCTATTTGAAATTAGTATTAAATCTATTCACAGATTAAAAAGTTTTAGCTTTTAAAATTACTAACCATAGTAACTAATGAAAGAAGTGAAGATTAAAAATAATACAAATTTAACCAAAGCATACATGCTCATATTTCTAATTCTAAAATCATTACTAAAAGTTATGCTATTCAAACTTACCAGTGGTAGGCTGTGTAGAACTTAAACCTTTGTGTATTGGTATATATAGTTTAGTGTGCATATCTTACACATTGAAGTTTAAATACATTATTTATACATATTGGTGTACCATTTAATTTAGGACTTAATTCTACACTGCATATAAATCAAAAATTAATAAAATATAATGCCAATCTAAAGAAAAAAAGTGAAGAAACAGTTAACCAATTAGGTTTGTACATTTATACTTATGATCGTAGAAATATTTTTTTTTTAATATTAACTTAATAAATACTTGATAAAAATATATTCCACTACTAGTATTTGTTTATAAATAAGATTATGTTATACTTTGTGCTTCTATAATTTTAATTAATAAAATTAAGTACATCCATTTTGCTGTTTAAATGTCTTAATTCATAGATCCTACCTGCCTACGCCCTAACATATCAGTAAAATTTTTTGCTTTTCGCTATATTCCACAATTTATATACAAAATATTAAACTTTCTTTATAGAAAACAAAGTATCTGCTCTCATCATAGCTATTTGTTTAGCATCTTTTGTATTGCTCGTAATTATTGGAGCCACCATATTTATTTTTCTATTTAAAAATTGGTTGAAACAGTTTGATATTCCATGTAAGTATAATATTATTTTATAGTTGCATGCAATTCTTGTTCTTCAATGCAAAATGCCTGATATATATATTATATTTATTTGATATATATAATATTTGATATATATATATATATATATATATATATATATATATATATATATATATATATATATATATATATATATATATATATATATATATATAAATATATATATATATATATATATATGTATATATATATATATATATATGTATATATATATATATATATATATATATATATATATATATATATATATATGTGTATATATATATATATATATATATATATATATATATATATATATATATATGTATATATATATATATATATATATATATATATATGTGTGTGTGTGTGTGTGTATATCAGGGGCTATTCTAGACCGTTATCGACAGCGTCAACCGTATTTGGGCATCGATTTGGGCACAGTCCAAATTAAAATTTGAGGACCTTTTTTTTTTTAGGTTTTTTACTGCAAATATTAATTTTATTTGCAAAAAAACAGATTTTTTTTTTTACACAAAATGGAGGGGTATCACCGCACAAATATTTTTCCTAGAATAAGCCCCGCCCCTGTATATATATATATATATATATATATATATATATATATATATATATATATATATATATATATGTATATATATATATATATATATACAGGCAGGCTTTGGCAGGAGTAAATGAGTGCAAGAGTAGAGAAAAGCACCCCTAAAACAAACATGGTAAGCCATGTGAGTTACTATTCTAAACAACCTTTTACAATTGCTTTTAGCTTTTGCACGAGTTATCTGTTTATTTTTCAAAAAATTGCTTAAATGAATAAACAATTTAGTTTTATGCTTGTTACAAGCATATGTTTGTTTACTGCTACAAGAATATATACATAACAATTGTCATTTATTATGCCATGAAAAAGTTCTATAGATGGGTGTTATTTTAATGTTTTCACATTACCTATTCATTTATTAACAGCATTACTTAATAAAAAGTTTGGATAAAGTGCTGCAAAAGTTATTACTGCTTATAAAAATTTTTTATATTTTCTTATTGTAATCGAATGCAGGCACTCTTTAATAATTATTACAACAATTAAAAATTTAACAATAAAAAGTGAATAATATATAATATTTAATATATAACATAAACAATTCAATACATAAATTAAAAATTATTATGCTATAATTTAGATGGTAATAAAATTTATATTTATCAAATAGTCTAGTCTAATCAAAAACATTTGCATTTAAATCTACACTTTTTTTGTTGTTGTTGCAACAACTGTTCCTTTTAAAAAGCGTTGCAGTTTATTATGCAATAAATTTTTTTTTGGATAATTATATGTCAATGATATTTTGACAATGATAATTATACTTTTGAGAGAAAAAACTATTCAAAAAAGTTCTTATTGTTAAATAAAGAAGTTATATTTGTAATAAAGTTCGGTAAGCATATTTTATGTGGCGTAATTCAAATTTAATTTATGCAATATAAGTTCAAATTAAAAATTTATTTTTTCTATTTAAAAGCTAAATCTAGTGTTTGTTTTTTTTAAATTCCAGTTGAACTTTATCATATTATCTGCTTCATTGTACTCCGGTTAAGTTGAACCATTCGCTAACTCATAGTTTTTTAGGGTCCATTTGACAAAAAACTTCGCTTAGCTAGAACTTTTACTTTGAATTGCTTTAAAGTCAATGTAATAAAATATCAAAACTTGCAACACTTAAATGAAAATTCCAAACTTAAATGTTAAAAAATTAAATATCTCGCTTAATATTTATAAATATCTAGTGTAATATTTATGAATATCTTATAAATAAATATATAGCGTAAAAAGTTTATCAAACTAAAACTTAACTTAAAGCCTCGATTTTGTACAGGTTCAATCACATTCTATTGATTAATGACTATTGTATTTAAAATTCAAAAACATCAAAATATTGCAACATCAAATATTTTTTGTCAAATATAAGTTAATAAACTAAATACTTTCACTGGTTTCTTTAAATCAGTTAAGCTTATATTAAAGTCTATTTGTTAAAAAAGTTAGAGTTAAATGTAACTTAAAATTAAAAAAAATTTTTTTAATAAACAATATGTTCAGCAAATACATTTTTTATATAAGATGCTCACAAACAACAAAAGAAAAATTATCGTCACTAGTTTCACAACGCATTTCTCAATATATACATCAGTAAATAAGTTATTTATATATTAAGTTTGTATAAGTATATATATATATATATACTTACACTAATATCTATTATATTAATATAAGTCTATTATATATTTATTAAGTATATAATCAAGTGTATAAAATGTTATTTACTTGATAATAATTAAATAGCGCATTCAGTTTAAATTAGAAAGCAGTTTTCTGTTTGTACAAACAATGAATAAAAAGTTATGAAGTCATTACTGCCAACAGACATAATTGAATGTTTACTATTTTCAAAACGTTTCATCCCAATAAGATTAGAAAATTTGAATTAAAAAATTATATACATGTTTTGATGTAACAATGGGAAGTTACAACTGAGCAGAAATTTGCAAATTTGTTAAGTGTATAATCAAGTGTATAAAATAGCAAATGGAAAAAACGTTATGCTAACCACAAACAATCTTTTAAACATAAAAAATACTCAAAATAGACTATGCTGTCAAAATATATTTGGTAACTAAAAGAAAAAAACTTGTCTATTCTAAAAACTGCGCCTGCCTATAATAACATTTCCAAAAAATGTATACTATGTTTACAAGAAAAATTTGAAATTATTATTCATATATTATTATATATATATATATATATATATATATATATATATATATATATATATATATCAGGATACAAGCTTAATTGATTAAAATTAACTATTTTAGCTAGGGAATTTAAAATATATAAGCCTACAAATTCGCAAATTTCTGCTCCGTTGTAACTTCCCATTGTTACATCAAAGCATTTGTGTGTGGTTTTTTTCTTCCACGTGTCGTTATTAAGATAAAGTAATGTTTTTCTGCAATGTTTAGTTAGACGAACAGTGTCGTTTGTAATTTCAGTGTGGATTTCTCCAAGTTCTATTGTTTTATCTAAAATTTCTGCTGTAACTAAGGGTTAAAAATCATCCATAGCTTATCCAAAACAATTCTATTTATGAACATTCATATATTTATTTTTATTTTTTTGGTTTTGAAATTTTGTTCTTCTACAAATATTTTCCTTAAATAATTTTTACAATGCACTCGTGCAAAGTTTTCATGGAAATAAGTTCTGATTTGCAATATTTTGAAACTCAAACATTTAAAATGACCTTAAAACTTTAAAAAATAATTTCACTGTGATACACACAAATAATAGTAGTATATATAAAGACTTTAAAATACTAAAATAGTTTCAAAATATAATATTCATTTTAAAATAAAAGTAAATAAAATATTGTTTCTTAGATGCTTCACAGATGTAACATTTTTTAGTAACATACATCAACCAACATATTTGAGTGCAGTGCATGTTTTATGATCAGCATAATTTTCATTGGATAGATTTTTATAAAAATATCTTCAATGGAGAACAGAAATTTTTCAAGGCTGGGTTTGTCAAAACCAAATCAAACTAAACTTTTTGTTTGTTTGTTTGTACTTTATAAAATTTATAAAATTTTATAAAACTATATAAAATTTTACTTTTACTCAATATATTATTGTTTTTAGAATTTTTCTATATATTATTTTATACATTTTCAGATATTTTGTAAGTTTTTAAAAATGTTTTTAGAATAGTTCTATATATTTTTTTATATATTCTCTTATATTTTGTAAATTTTTATATTTTACATATAAAGTTTCATATTTACAAAGCCTGCCTCATTTTCATGGAGTGTCTATTTCTTGCGCTATTAAATTTTAAATTGGATTTTTGTTTGTGATATACTGATGGCTGATTGTGGCTAATAATAGGTATTAATTTATTTATATAAGGATATCATAGTAATATTAAGGATCTAAAATACATATATAACATGCACCTATATATCAGCAGTGAATTGGCCTACTAGCTTTTGCCAATTACATAAAAACCAGCTACCAATTAATATCATTTTGGTAGAATTTATAAGTGTATTAAGGATTTTTATCTTTTTGAAAAACGAAAAATGTGTGACCCATAGTTCATGGGTCACACAGAAATGCAAGTTTTTGAAGAATGTTGTGGAGTTTTTTATTATTCATGATGGCTTCAATTCCCACAACATTGCTTGACTTTTGCAATTACATTGTTTTATTACGCATTATTCAACTAAATGACAAACACATTATCAACTGTTTCCTTTTTTACTCTTTAACAACTTTAAACCTTAGTTTGTCAGTGAACAAGACTTTAGATCATTATTCAATTGTCCAATATATTTTTTTGCTTATCTCATCCTTTTAACTTTCTCTAATTTTGGGAATTTAACGATGTTCAAATGTTTTAAGTAAAAGAAATTTTATCTTCTAATTTTATCTTCTTCAACTACATTGTATAATTAAAATAAATAAAACTGTTAATTTAATGCTTGTAACTCTCTAGTGCATTTTATAAAATTAAAAGACTTAAAATGCTCGCAACTCTTTATTGCATATATTTATATAAAATTAAAACTTATTTAAAACTTATTTGAACCACCATTTTTAAAACAGCTTCAAATAATTAAATCGTATTCATAATTTTGAAGTGTTTATTTTTTGATAAAGTTTAGTAAACACTTCTTATTCGACTCTCCACAATAGGATCTTTGTTATTTATATATATATATATATATATATATATATATATATATATATGTATATATTTTGCATTTTATCTGTTATTATATTATATATTCTGTGTTTATTATATATATAATAAAATGTTATTTATTTATGTTATTTATATATTGCGAATTAAAACACACAACATATCCTATATTTTATGTGCTTTGAACTTCGCAAACCATTCTTATAATCATTACGAATGTCATTTAAAGGCACCATTTTTAGGAGTTCTTTAAGTGTGATATTCAGATTCAGCATCGTTGAGAGTACAAAAATTTGTGCTCTCAAATATAATGTTAGAGTTTAAATAACTATGAAATGTATACATTAATATATAATTTTTTATACATTATATCCTGGCTAACGTTTTTCTAACATTTCTAAAAAATATAGAAGTAATTAAGGAATTTTAATATTTATGATATAACAAATAAAACTAAGTTTTAAAATTCTAAGGTCAGGAAAAAAAACCATCTGGGCGGCAGTTAGGTCAACATTGCCAAACCCTGACCAAACCCTGATGTATATAAAGTAGCATTTATACATATATTTGCAGATACGCATAAATTTAGACATGACTTCATTCTTTTTATATTTGTTTTATTTCTTTATATATATATATATATATATATATATATATATATATATATATATATATATATATATATATATATATATATATATATATATATATATATATATATATATTAAACAAAAAAAAAAAAAGAAATAAAATAATTATAAAAAGAATGAAATCATGTCTAAATTTATGCGTATCAGCAAATATATGTTTATATGCTACTTTTGGAGGTCAACCATCCTTTGGCAGTGGTTTAGTATTTTTGTCAACAGAAGCGTTAACACATCAACGCTTAGTAATCTGGCTTCATATACAGGGACACCATAATTTGATAATCTAGATGTGTATTTGGAAGTAAGTCGATACAAAAATGTTTTTAATATGTTTGATAAATAAGATTTTTATAATGGTATTTGACAAATAAGATTCCAATGACTATATCCAACAAAAATGTGATTGAGTGGATGGAAGACAATATATTAATTATATCTACGTTTTTATCTACATTCTAATTTTTAAACTATTGTTTAATATATAATATATAGACATTATATATTTTAATTCCCTGCCTATATTTTATCAAACCAAGCCCCAGCTTTGGCCCCAGTCATGTTTCAATTCCAGTTGCTCACTATTTTTATGGTAGAAAATACTATAATATAGCATATATTGATACCTGTTATTTAAAAATAATTATATAGTTTCTAAATAAATATATTTTATAGTGAAAAAGTCAACCCAGTAGTAAATGTCCCAGGTTCTGGCTAAATAATAGTATTAGTAGGAGTTTTAAGCTGGGTGCTAATGTTGTTAGCCAGGATATAATGTATAAAAAATTATATATTAATGTATACATTTCATAGTTATTTAAACTCTAACATTATACTTGAGAGCACAAATTTTTGTACTCTCAACGATGCTGAATCTGAATATCACACTTAAAGAACTCCTAAAAATGGTGGCTTAAAATGACATTCGTAATGATTATAAGAATGGTTTGCGAAGTTCAAAGCACATAAAATATAGGATATGTTGTGTGTTTTAATTCGCAATATATAAATAACATAAATAAATAACATTTTATTATATATATAATAAACACAGAATATATAATATAATAACAGATAAAATGCAAAATATATACATTTATATTTATTCTAAAAAATTGTTTTAAGAGCAATAAGTACCAGTCATTGTTATTACCTTTACGTATCTGTATTTAGATTCTTTACAAGGTGGTAAAATGCTGCGTTTCTTTTTTTAAATTTTAAGATAGTGCCTACCTAAAGCAGTTCTATTAATGTTTCTTATTCTCGATTTTTAAACATTCAATAATTGAAATAGTAATTAGAAAATGGTAAATAAGAATGTTCAATTATAATTTAGATGGCTCTAGATTATATAAAGTATTTTAGTATTGTAATGTCTGAAAATACAATGTCTTAGTTTCTGAAAGTGGAAGTTCAGAATTCTCTGGAACATACTCAAATCCAGTATAAATAGTTCAAAAGGTTTATAGAGACATAGCATGGGTATACATAGGGTGTAGCATGTGTAAGGCTGCATGTGAATATATATTTAAATAAATATAACCTTAAATTATAATCTTTACCAATAACTACGATTTTCATTGTTATAGGTTTTCATACTTCAAATGTTACTACAGATTGTGAAGGTCGTAGAGAGTCGAAAGCCGTCACTGTGGAAAATATAGCATTCTTTATAAATGAAACAAATCTTTGATGTGTATATATATTCTTATTAAACCTTTAAATTTGACGTTGAGTTACAAGATATCAAAAATCAATTTTTTGACAGATTTTGTTGCAGTATCTTCCAATCATTAGCGGATTATACGTTTGCTTCTGTTGATTTTTAGCAAATCACATGCTTGCTTATGTGGATTTTTAGTGGATCACATGTTTGCTTATGTGGATCAAAGTTTTAATTATTTATTACATTATTTATTTGCTTCTCCTTGTTTAGTTGCTGCAAAATATATTATTGTTGTATAAATATAGATATATATATATATTTTGCATTTATTTTACATTTACTCAACATTAATCTGAAAACTAAATACATTAATAGTATTTATTATTAATTACATAGATATAGATTTTTAACTTAATTATCTATTTATTAACAGTAAAGTGTGTTAACCAGGATATAAATTCTAAGGCTGTTTTTCTTGAAACTATTTAGAGCCTTAACTAGAATTTTAGTTCCAAAAAAAAAAAAAAGTGTTTTCACAGTTAAGTAAGTCCCTTATTATATACCATTAGTAATAGTCCGTTTAACGGACTGTATAGAGGCTGGTTAACACTCTGTAGTACTATATATAAATAGCATTTTGTACTATGTATGCCATAAGTACTATATATAGACAGCATTTTGTTTTTATAATACCGTTATATTTTGACATTTATTCAAATTAAATTTGATTTGACGTTTTATTATTTAAAAATGTAATATATAGAAAAACATCAAAACACACACACATATAAAATCGATATATATATATATATATATATATATATATATATATATATATATATATATATATATATATATATATATATATATATTGGTTTTCAATTAATTTTATAAAATAAATAAATGAAAATTACTTTTCATTTATTTATTTATATAAAACAATATATACAAAAAATTTTACTTTGTGTATCTTAGTAGCCTTTGATATAAAAATTTTTTAATTAGTTTATTTATTATTTATAATCTTTAAATTTTAATATACAGGTTTTTACATTATTTATAGTATTTTTGTAAATTTCTTGACGATTCGTTTTTGATTTTTATATTTTATTTTTATATTGTATATATTTACTCGTTTTTAGAAATTAATTTTATATAAAAGAAATTGTAAATTTTTATTACTTTTGTAATGTATAATATTGCTAAATACTTATCATATGCCCGCAACTTTCATAGGTCGCAAGTTGCTAACTCATCTCATAGATTCTAACCAATTAGGTTAACGATTTGTAGGTCGTAAAGGTGGTATACCCCTCAGAAATATCAAATTTTGAAAAAAAAATTTTTGTTGTTTATTTTTATTTAAAATTTATTATAGAATCATATTTTAAAAACCATTTTTTAAAATTCAGTATATAACTTGAGGAAAACAAACTTTAATGAACCTTACATTTTTAAGCACCATTGACAACCCCCATAGCAACGCATTAACAATTTTCATTTGGCCAAGAAATTCTCCTCAAACATAATTTTTAAAGCTTCTTGAAATGAGTTTATAATTTATTTCTATTTTCCATTAATCAAAACATCTGTAAGATTAAAAGCAATAACTGGATTTCTCATAAATTTCTTCCAGAAGTTTCTTTAAAACGAATTGTCATCTTAAAGTTATATAAATCTATGCATCTGTTTATGTTTATATAAATTAAAACGTATACTTTTAATGGGTAGAGAACGTGTGAAATTCGCTACTCAATACAAAAAGAAAAAAAGATTTCATGGAAATCAATATACTTTAAATAAAACAAAAAGATTCTGTTACCTATGGATCTTCCATTCTGTTATCATATGGATCTTCCAATGACTAAAAATACTTACATTAAAATTGTTCAAAAAATTGCTATTCAAGTTGAAGCAATCGCAGTAGAAACCATGTCTGATGCTGCACTTGAAATTATAAAAGCCTCCCAACATACTGCTGATGAATCCAATTTAATAAATACCAGTGTTTCTTGTGACGGTATCTGGCAACGTCGAGGTTTTTCCTCATACAACGGTGTTTATACTGCAATATCTATGATTACAGGAAATATTTTGGATTGTGAAGTATTATCCAAATATTGCAAACAATGTTTTTTAATTACAAAGAAAAAAAATACAGACTCTGATGCATATAAAATCCTAAAAAATTCTCATTTTTGTAACCTCAACTATACTGGCCCATCCACCGGTATGGAGGTCGCTGGAGCAAAATCAATTTTTGAACAATCTATTGAAAAGTATAAACTTTGCTATACTGAATTTTGTGGTGACGGAGATAGTAAGGCATTTTCATCTGTTGAAAGAGTATATGGTGATACACTAGTTTCAAAATTAGAATGTGTTGGTCATGTGCAAAAAAGAGTTGGCACACGATTAAGAAAATTGAAAAAAGAAAGTCGTCTAGGTGGTAAAGGAAGACTTACTGATGCTACAATTGACAGATTGCAAAACTATTATGGAATTGCAGTTAGAACCAAAAATCAGTCTGTTAATGAAATGCGCAGTACAATACTTGCTTCATTGTTTCATGTTGCTTCCTCAAAAGAAAATAACTATCACATCTATTGTCCAAACGATGAAAAAAGTTGGTGCCAGCACAATGTTGCTCGAAAACATCCCAATCAACCATCTCTCTATAAACCTGGCCCTGGTTTGCCACGTGATATTATTGAGTTACTAAAGTCAATTTATAAAGAACTTAGCTCTAATGAATTGCTTGCAAAATGTATGCATGGAAAAACTCAGAACCAAAATGAGAGCCTTAACATGATGATATGGGAATGAAAATTCTGTTTATTGTTACATTTGAAATTTGCAACATATGATGCTATTGCAAACTTTAATATTGGAAGAAAAGCATCAGTGATGACTTATGAAAATCTCAATATGATTCCAGGAACATTTACGATAGATGGCTGCAATAGAGAAAATAAAATGCGTTTGTATCAATCGTCATACAAAAATAAATCTGATGTAAAGTTGCGCAGAAAAACAATCAGGGGCAATAAAAAGAACAAAAATGATAGGAAAAAGCAAAAACAAGGAACTCTTTATGCTGCTGGTAGCTTTTAAACAATTTGCTCTAAAATTTACAAACATTGTTTATTTTTATAATATTTTTTTGGATATTTTTCTCTTTTTTAATTTTTAAAGTCTTTATTTGCTAACTTCTATTTTTCAATCTCCCGTCACAGTTATTTCATTTTCTAGTAATCAGTTTTTAACCAAATTTTCAGCAGTGATGTGTTTTTATATGATGTATGCAATCTGCCAAAAGTTAATTATAAAACATTTCAGAATTGAGATATTGCTGTTTCAGCACTAAAAAATTGCTTATTTAAAAATCTTCATAATCCATGTAGTGCTACATGGAAACTAATTTACAATTATCTTGAAATTACAATTATCTTGAAAAAAATAATATTCTTTATCATAAACAGTTTGGTTTTCGAAAAAACCATTCTACGGAACATGCCGTAATTGATCTTGCGAACCAAATTTTACTAGGTTTTGAAAACAATTGTTACACACTTGGAATTTTTCTAGATCTATCAAAGGCATTTGATACTGTAAACCACAAGATTCTTATCTACAAACTACGTAGTTACGGAGTAGTTCACTCTAATTTAAAGTGGCTTCAATGTTATTTAGAAAACCGTAAACAAGGTGTACCATATGATCTAACATGCTCCCCATTTGAATCAATAAGTTGCGGAGTTCCACAAGGATCAATACTTGGACCTTTATTGTTTTTAGTTTATATCAATGATATTTTTTTGTCTTCAAAAATACTTAATTATACTATTTTTGCTGATGACACTAATGTTTTCTTTTCTGACTCAAATTTAAAAAATATTTTTTATTATGTAAACGCTGAACTAATATATCTTAATGAGTGGTTTATAGCAAATAAACTATCATTAAATATTGAAAAAACTAAATATATTTTGTTTGCTAAACCATCTCAATCCGAGAACCTTCCACTTAAACTTCCAGAACTAACAATTAACAATATTAAAATAAAAAGAGTTTTTTCAATGAAAATACTAGGAATAAATTTCGATGAACATTTAAATTGGAAAAGCCAAATAAAGTTAGTCGAGAACAAAGTTTCAAAGACTGTGGGGATTATGTACAGGACAAAACATCTTTTGAATAAAATATGTTTAAAAAACTTATACTTTTCATTTATACATAGTCATATTAACTATTGTAATATTGCCTGGGCAAACAATCATTCATCTTTCCTAAAAAATATTTATACTAAACAAAAGCAAGCAAGTCGATTAGTTTTGGGCGCAGATAGGTACGAAAGTGCCAAGCCGTTACTCAAGGAAATTAATGCGCTAAACGTATACGAACTAAATATATACCATAACTTGTTATTTATGTTTAAACTTCAAAATGAACTAATTCCAAAATATTTTTATAAAGGTTTCTCTCTAATTAACCATAAATATGAAACAAGACACTCAATAAATAATTACTACATCCCACCAACATCACTCAAAAAATCTGACTTCTCAATTACATGTCGGGGGCCACGCTTGTGGAAGTCAGTTCTTGACGAAAATATGAAAAAAATAAAATCTATTGATATATTCAAAAGAACTATAAAAAAACACTTACTAAACTCAAACATTACATACATTCTTTCATTTTTTTAAAAATAATATTTTTTTGATAAATTTGATAAAAAGCTTTTTTTTTTTTTTTTTTTTTTTTTTTTTTTTTTTTTTTTTTATATATATATACATATATATCTTTCTTGTTTGATTTTCTCTTTGACTGTTTTTTTTTTTAACTTTTTTTAATAAATACTAACAAATGAATTTAAATCTACATAACGTTTGGAATCTTTTTAATATATAAATATTTTTGAATATATACTTCGCTTTGTATTGAATATGTATACGTATATGTACTGATTTGTAAAAAAAATTCAAACTTTTTAATTTACGCATTGTATACATTTTTATTTTTTTATTTCGAGATTTTATTATTATTATTATTATTATTATTTTTTTTTCTTTCTAATTTTTACTTTTTTTAATTTTTAATTTATTTTAAACTTTTTAATTTTTTTCAATCTTTTTACTTTATTTCAAACTCTTTAAATTTTTTTATTTTTATTTTAATTTTGTTTGAATGTTTGTTTATTTTTTCAAAATTTTTAATTTAACTCTTTTTTATATTATTGGAATTTTAGAAATTTTATATTTCTCTATTTCACAAAAGGGCTTGATGATAAGACTTTATGTCTTCTACTTGCCCCTGTCAGCTTGTAATTATATATATATTTATTCGAATTTAAAGATAACATTGTAAAATGTGTAAAACGACAAAATAAACTAACTATACTAATAGTCAGATTTAAAAACTTTTGGCAGATTGCATAGATCAAACTGTTTTTTATAATTGGGCCAAGTTTTACTTTGAATACTCGATTAGATTTTGAGATATTTTTGACAGTGCGATGTGCATATTTTCTTATATCCGCCATTATAGGTGGTTGTCATGACAACATAACCACCTGTTATTTTATAAATCAATTTCGTTTAATAAGATCTTTCATAGGCTTAATTTTTATTTTGACTATAATATTCCAATTCCAAGATAATTTTAAAGGGGGTATACCACCTTAATTCATGAAGTAAAATTCTTAATGAGAATTTTGTTTTTTGATTATTTTTAAAGTTGTATAATCTAAAACATTCCTGTATGGTCTAAAATAGAAAGTAGTCT